TATCTACAACAATTTAAACAATAGAGGATTAAATAATGAAAAATCATCCTACTCATAAACTAAAGATTTACAATTATCGAGCACTTGATGGTGGGGTGTGGGTGTGAATAATGAATAAGAAGAATACAACCACCCATACCCTTAAGGTGGCTTTTTTCGTATCAATCGATATTCAAAACATATCTAACTAAAGCATTGACTATTTTATTGATTTTTTCAAATTTATTATTTAAAAAAAATATATCCATATATACATTCTAACGTTTTTCTATCTTGAACAAAAATATGTCTGCTATTTCTCGTTATGATCAGCAAGTTAACGTTGTTCGATTCACATAATCTTCTATTTGATAGTTAAATAACTGGAAATCATCATTATAGAGACGCTTGAGTCGACAAATAAGATTATCTGATAAGGATGAAAACAATTGTTGATAATCCCATGTATTATGACCTGATGCACCACGTCGCTTTTCATTATTCCAATCAGATACATTGAGACGTTTTAGCAAGGAATTAAAATCATGGTTGAATGTTTCATATTTACCAATAAAATTATATTTAAATTTGCACACTTGACAAACTACTGTGTATGGCTGCCAATGGCCGTCCATTCGAGCTATTCCGAAAGATGTTTCAGTATTCGTGAGAATAAATTCAACAAAATGTTTGAATGGAGGAATAAAGTTTTCACATGGATGAACTTTTTTCAATAGACTTCTAACCCAATTAGGGTGTGTATATCGTTGACAGATAAATTTGCGAATATCATCGTAATAAGGTTCTGGTTGAATTCTATCTTTTTCAAGTGTTGCAATTCTCTCCTTATAAGCCGATGCTAGGCGTTCAAATGGATGTCGAACAAACATCGCTCGAGTAAAGGCTGGAGAAAATATATCAGATAGATTTGATATACTTTTGAAATCAAAACTATGAAATATGGTTTTCAAATTTAATCTCCATGGATTGAAATATAGAGATGGAGACGCACTATTGACACTTTCAAAACGAAGAAGATGAAGATAAGTCTGCATCAATGAAGAAAAAGAAATCGATCCGTTTGTTTTTGGAATTGAAATT